AGCCCATGAGGCATTTCGCCAGTCCAGTGCTGGCTCACAGCTCCAGTGTCTCCCAGTCTGGCTTGGAGGAGGCTCCTGGGGATGAGATGCTGAAGCACGGCAGGCACACTGGAAGCAAATCATGGGCTCCTGAAAGACTCCTGACCCTCTCAAAGCAGTTGGTTTTGCAAAAGGCAAAAAGGTCAGAAAGGGATGTTCTGTGCATCCCATTAATTTTGGCTGTGGGTCTACATGTATCACTGTTAACATGTCTCTGGATGCACTGGCATCACAGCTGGGAGATAGAAATGCTGCAAGAAGAGTTACTCAAGAAGTGTCAACATGGACATATAGTGGGTTAATGACCAAAATACCTATGGGTTGTGCTGACCTCCTCGTCTCTCCCTGGCTCTTTCAAATTGGGCTCAGTGCTTCTTGGGGAGAAGGTTAGAAACGAATTGCCCAGTTATTTCCTACCATCAAATTTCAGAGCCTTCAGACCCCACAAGATGGCTCTGCTACGAGACTCGAATGAGCTCCATTTCTGCAATAACTCCTCCAGAGAGAAAGAATTAGGAGGCTTAGCACTTCTGGATGACAGTTGCCGGGGCTGCTGTCAGATAACAGGCACCGGCAACCGGCACAGGAGCCGGGATCAAGGCAGGCTGCCTGATTCAGCCATCCCAGAAAAAAAGCCATGTTTATAAAACCCACATGAAAAGGAACGAATTGCCAATTACGCAAAAGTCTTTAAATAAAGCAACACAAACCTTTCATGTACAGCAGACAAATGATATACGGTCACTGGGAAATAATATAACAGATAGGGAGGCTGCGAGTCCAGAATGGAGGAAATCCATTTTCCAGAAGGAAGAAAAGGGACTCGCTCGCTGAAAAGGATTAGCTGGATAAAGCCAAACACTTTTTTAAAAAAAAACTGTGTTAGAAACTAAACATGCATCAAACAGAAAGAGGAAAAAAAACCCAGATTGTAAGATCCAAGGAGCCACACTCTGCTCCTGCACAGAAAGAAAAAACTGTCAAAAAAAAAAAGCTGTGTAAACTTGCCACAAAACCCAGATCATCAACAGGCATTTATCAAATGAAACACACACCAAATGCAACTCTTCTGCCTAATCCCAAGTCAAACAGACTTTGAGTTTCAGACCCTCAGGAAGAGATTTCCATATGATCCTCCTCCGTCTCCGTTTATGATTAGCCCTTCTAAATTTCAGCATTTATCTGACAAAACACATTGGGGAGGGTTTTCTTTTATCCTCAAAGCCTCTGTTTCTGCTTTTCCTTAGCTGCTGCTGCTGCACCACTCTGCAGACACTCAACTTGGGAGGAAAAGACTGTAGTCAAGACCCTTTGATCGACTAAACCCAGAATTGCTTTCCTGATGGTGGTAACCCCAAGCCCTTGTGTTACGTGCCAACACTGAAGCAAGCCAGCATTCACAGAAGGGGTTATAAATACTTCTTAAGAGCCAAAATCTCACTTTTGAGGTGTAGTAATGCAAATAAAACATATATGCCAGCGGGGTGGGGTCCCACTACTAATTGCTGCATGGTCTTTGAGAGGGGTTTTTGTACTTTTGGGAGAGAACTTCTGGTGTCAAAATGTTTCAATCTGGCCTGGCAGAGCTGTCTCACTGAGCCACTGCTGAGTCCTGTGAGCAGCTGCAGGAGCACCATTACCAGTCTCCACCCTCCTGCAGCCCGAGGTATGGTCCTCGTTACCCACCAATTGATACGTTTCAGACAACATATTCATAAACCCCCCCGAGTCTGATCACGGCTAATTCACAGACAAAAAGAGGGGACATTTGCTTAATACACTGCTTTTTGCAAACACCCTGATCGTTCCCAGATGCATCTGCTTTTGCCTAGCAGCACTCGAGGCAGGAGAGGAAATAATTTCAGCTCCCCAGAGTCACTGGCCGAAGCTGTTTCAAGATGCTCCAGGAGCCCTCCTGCATCTGTTCGAGGGAGCTGTACCCAGGTCTCTCTTTCGATCAGACCCAGGTTCTTCTGCTGGTTTTTCAGCATCAAAAGGAAGGACCACAAAGATAATCAGAGAGCTGGAGCATCTCTCCTATGAAGACAGGTGGAGAGAGCTGAGGTTGTTCAGCCTGGAGAAGAGAAGGCTCCAGGGAAGACCCCATTGCAGCCTTCCAGTGAGGTCTTTTAATAAGAGAATGACTTTTTACATGGGCAGACAGCGATGGGACAATGGTTTTAAACTAAAAAAGGAGAGATTTAGATTATATGTTAGGAATAAATTCTTTATTCAGAGGGTAGTGAGGCATGGGAACAGGTTGCCAGGAGAAGTTGTGGATGCCCCATATTCAAGGCCAGGTTGGATGGAGCTCTGAACAATCAATTCTAGTGGAAGGTGTCCCTGCCCATGGCAGTGGGGTTGGAACTAGATGGTTTTTAAGATCCCTCCCAACCCAAACCATTCTATGAAAACACAGGAACAGAATCCCTGAACACTTCTCTAAGCAGAGCACACACACAGGCACTGCAAGGCTGTGTAAAGCCAGGTCCAGGTGAGTCTGCTATTTAGATCTCACCCGTGGCAAAGAAATCAGTTCTACCGATTCCCAGTGGTCTCCCCTAAACTTGCCAAAGGAGTGTGAAATTAGCTATGGAAAAGCTTCTGAGAAAGGCAGAGGTGGTGGGAAGGAGGAAATTTCACACGAGAATTTAAGAGCTTGACTCCTGAGCAATTCAAGCCAGTGTAGGTCTAGATGTTAAGACCCAACAAAGCTATGGAGGAACCTCTTTCATGGCAAAAAAACAGCAAACCATCCCAAGGCAAGACATCCACAGAAAAATACAGCTCTGAAGTGACAGCCAGCTTGGGCTTGGATGAACATTTTATTTACAGCTTTTTGTTCAGTTCAGCTATAAGATAAGGTAATAGCAATAAAAATACGGTGCTCAGAAATTACAAAGCAACTTTTATCTGAAACCTCATGATGAGTTACAAACAATCCAGGTTAGTTGGTGAGACTTCCCCAAGCAAAGTGCATGTTGCTCCTGGAGGGAGCTCAGTCGATTGAGGATCCCCTGGGGCAAAGAGCTGCTCATCTGGGTGACATCAGCCTGTTCCTGCCCCAGTGGGTCAGCACTGGGACCACCCCAATGCTGATGGCTTTACCTTTTAAGGCAGGCAAACCAAAGCAGCGTGCCCACATCTGCAAAGAGTATTGATACTAGAGACACACTTGAGTCCAAACACCCACTTTCTCTTCATCTGCTCTACCCAAAAGTGATTTTGCCCTGAGTAAAAGCTACCTAGGAGTATTGAAAACCCTCATTAAGCCAGAAAAGTATCTGAGATACCTCAGTGGACAATCCTGTACATATGGGAGCATGGTGGTAATTAGAGATCTGGGTCAACCTGCATGCAACAGAGGTTACTGCTTTTTCTGGGCATGAATTTTTCATCATCACCCCTCCTTGGATTTCCCCATTTATATATTACTTAAAAACAGCAAAATGATTTGTTGTACGAATAAAATTCAGCCATGGGTCACTTGCAAACTAGTTAGTGTGATTTACAGAGCAATTCACTTCCTGTATTGATTACAAGGAATTCCCATTGAAAGTGTGATCAAACACTTGAAAAAACATAATATGATGTGATATCACTTCTGCTCACTCGGAAGTGGACACAGAGCTTCCCAAACCAGCCCCCTTGGAAGTCATTTTCCTGTGGTTTTTTAGTGTCCTTGATAAAACCCCAAACAATCAGGTTGGCCAGGGCAGCTCACATAGATTTCCTGCAGTATCTTTTAAACTGTGATTATTAATATAGTGAGCAGCGTTTTAGCAGAGCTATTCTCCAATAGCCCATTCATTTTTAATTGAACTAAGAAAAATTAGAAAAGGCATTTAGATGAAATGAGAAGCCAAGTGCTGTGTCCTGGTGATGAAGGTGACTGAACTTCCCCCCAGCCAGCTGCAAAGCTTCAGCAAACCCAGTGCAGCCCAGTGCAGGGGTGCTCACCTTGCAGAGATTATTGGCATGGTGTTTTGTTTTAATTAGTCATCCTGATTTAGCTGCTCTCATTCCAGGTCTGGCCTGGCTCATGATTATCCAGACACTCTCTGAAAACACTGAATGTCAGGGGGAGCTGAGGGATTTCACCTCCTTGATGACTATGTACTTAAAAACCATTACCCATTAGCATTTTTGCAATGGTATTTTTAAGCAACTTTCCAGAAAGCGAGGCTGAATGTGCTTCCGTCTATTCAAGTCACCATCAGCCATCCTCATTCAGGTTTGCCGGGGCTGGGTAGGATCCTGCCCCCCCTCCCAGCTTATCAGCTGCAGCTGGGGTATTCGGGTGCTGTGGGAAGTTTCATTTCCTGCTGCTTGGGCTGCCTGTGGCTGGCCCGAAGCCTTTGTAAAAGGAAAGGCATTCTTCTAATTCTTGTTATTAACCCATTGCGGATCTCTGAGACAGGAGCCAAAATTGTCAGGAAAGTACAGGATGCTACAGCTTCCATCAGCCCATCCTTACATACCCATGACCACTAGACTCTCATTGTTTCTGATTTTCCTTTTTTTTTTTTCAAAACTAAAAGATAAGGCAGATGGAGCACCGACTTATTTTAATGCATATTTGTGTTTGACATATGATTTACACCCCACAAGCAATGCCTGCCCGATGCAATAAACTTCTCAAAGCTAAGCAATGCCTCAAAAAAATTGCAAAGTGATATAGTAACAGTGTAAAAAATGACCAGAGCTGCTTTTCTGTCTCACTGGCAGGGACTGGGACAGTTTTGGCACAGAATAAAGCAAAACGTCCTGAATTAGTCCTTCCCACAGATATGCCTCTGCAGGTCCTTCCCAGACAGCACTAATGGAGCTTCCCTGAGCTCTGCAGGCAATCACAGTGTGAAGCTGCTGAGAAAACCAGCTGAAAACCCTTTTCTCTCCCCACCCCGGCCAAAACCCGCAGCTGTAGCAAACTATCACATGGCGAAACGTGCAGTTACTACCTGAACGAGGAGCTCCAGCTTCCTGTCGTCAAGGAGGTGCACTTGGCATCTGCGACCCTCCGTCATCTGCAAGAGAGAAGAGAGGCACGTGTGTCAGGGCGCTCGGCATTCCAGCTTGGCACGCGGCCGCTTCCCCGGCACAAGCTGGGGGCTTTCACTCGCTGCAGTGCTTTTGGTTTGTTGTTGTTCGTTTGGGTTTCTTTTGTCCTTTTATTTTTTTATTTTTTTTAATTAATCTCCCTTCTTTTGGCACCAGGGGAAAGAAAAAGGCTGGAAGGAGGAGAAGAAAAGCCACCCTGGTAGCTGTCATGGAGCAGCGTCTGGCGCCTGCCCGGATGCAGCTGCCGGGAGGAGGTTGTTCCAGTGTGTACAGTGGGGCCAGGGGATGGTTTGCAGGGGCCCCGGCATTTCATCCTGCAGCCTCCAGCTCTGCAGATGGCTTGGCTGGTGGAGGAGACACCCAGACAAGTTTCCCCAAACTCCTCAACAGCAGTGATCCAGCCATGCCACAGGTAGTGTGGAACAAGCAAGGTCCTCCCTAGGAAGTGCTGATGGTGCTTCCTGGAATGGCACCAGCTGCGTTTTTGGTCCTGAATCCCAGAATGGGCTTGCCCTACTTGGGGTGTCCTATTTAAGATGTGCCACAGGAGCCACTTGTGATATCATCGTACCGGTCCAAAGGTGCTTCCATACCAGCACAGTTTATTACCACTGTCAACAAAATAATATCAATAAAACTGTTATTTATACAAGACTTATATGAAATTTATGAGATCCAGTGATTGGAGTCCTAAGAAGTACATGACCTGTGGTCTGAGGGAACTCCTCTACGGTGCACCAAGCCCTTTCCCAGCTCTCCTCTTGCACAGAGCACTGTAAGCAGGGAGCAACTTTGCTTTGCAGAGTTATGGAACCTGGCTTAGTTCAACAAAGCCCCTCAGGCACAGGAACAAGCACAATCCCACTATCTGTTAATGGGATATGGACTGCTTTAAGCCTCTTTGGCTATTGTAAATCCCTTCCTCAGCATGACTTAGGCAGCACAGGCAGCCCCCCTCGGTGTGGGCTCACCCCACGACACTCACACACACCTGGACCCACAGCAGCACAGCCCCAGCACAGCCCCACAGCTCAGATGAGTCCCCCAGGGACCCACCACCCTCCAGCCAAGGCACCTTCCTGTGCTTTGCATGGATCCTCAGATCAGTTTAATGATATTATTTGCTACAAAGAGTCTGAAAGCATCACCAGAAGGGAGTGGAGGGTCCACGGGAGCCTGGCTGGGGGCCTGCAGGCTGCTGGGGACATGAGTGCCCCAGTGTCCTGGGCATTCCTGCCCTGATCCATCATCTCTTCCCACCAGTGCCAGCTGAGCTGAGCCTGATGCAAAGCCACCTTCCAGAGAGCAGGGAGACGTGGGTTTGTGGGGTTAACTGAGGACAGCTCAGCTTTCTGCTTCAGCTCTGCAGGTTAAAAATCACCCACTCCTGTGGCTTGATGGGGCTGGATGTGCTGGTGTCCAAGAGGCAGTGGTGGATGCTCCACCATCGACTTTGCCTGTTCAAGAGCCTGGGCAGTGCATGGCCATTGCCATGGGATCTTCAGCCTTGGCCATTTCCAGCAGCATCACCCTCACCCTGCTCGGTTCAGGAGCCCATGAGGCTCTTCTGTGTGCTCCTGTCCTCCCTCTTACTAGGTCTGTCTCACATCCACCTCTCACTTTCCTGGGACCAGACCGGAGCGAGTCTTACCCTGGCCCCAGCCTCTTCCACAAAGCAGAAATTCAAGTGTTCCAACAACTCTATTAAACCTCAAGTGGACCATGCAAGATACAGAGTTTATTATGAGAAAACCAGTCAAAATGAGCTTTTCCCTTCAACTCACCCCAAATTTACAATCCTGGAATGCACAATCCCATGCAATGCATGCCCATTTTACCCCCTTTTGTTATTCACATCAGCACACCTCTCAGTATCCTGCACACTAAAAACAATTGCTTTCCTTCTCTTTTTTCCATCAGCATAACTGGAGCCCTGGCACTGCAGCCAAATGAAAGCCTTGTAAAACAAGACTTCTCATAAATGTCAGCCAGTTACCGCCGTGGCAGTAAATTGTCCTAGGAGAGTTTCCTCTAGTAAGCAATGTTATGGAAAATATGGCTTCTCCTAAGGTGTACTTCTTGGTGAGTGAGTTTTTTTTGCTATTAAACAGCTTTCAGCTCAGTTGTGAAGCTATGCCAGAGGCTCACAGAAGGGCTTTGCAATGGTTTCTCCTGCTTGGAACAAGAGTTGTGTGGGTCATGTTCACTTGGGTGCAGAGAACTGCAAGCTTCCTTTGCTGGGCTTCCCCAGCAGATAAAACTCTGAGTGCCTGAACTCTGCTTTGGCATCTTCCTCGTCCTCTTACTGTCACATATCCACTGCATCCTCAAGATGGGGACTATGCATTGATATTCCAGTTTTAATATGAGTTTACCCAAGGCAAGAGATAAAGCAGTGAGTTTATCGTGGCAATGGCAGGGATGGGAACACAGTCCCAGCTTTCGTGTGTTACGCTCCAACAGTTATAACAAAGTCAAAATAAGAATAAAAGAAGGTGAAAGAGGGAAAATTTTCTGAGATGTATGACTTTGTGCTTTAGCATTTCAGCAAAGCACTTGCTTTCCGTGTGAAGCTTCTTTAGCTCTCCACACTTTTCCAACCCAGAATTTCATAACCCCTTAGTGCTTTCACTGCTTAAAGAAATCTCAAGTGCAAACAGCTGGTAACATGAATAAATACCTGAATAAAGCAAAGCTCTGAAATGCAGCATATGATGGTTCACTAATTGCATGGCATTTCATGAACATCCCTTGAAGCTCAGCAGTACCACAGGCTGGAGATCTGCTGCACCATTTCCTTCTGCAGACAGGATGCCCAGCCATGGGGCTTTTCATTTCCCTTGGAAACAAATGGTGCTTTCCAAGAGAAAAGAAAAGAAGGCAGAGACAGGCTTCCTATTTAATATAAGCTAAAATATGATGGTCCTGCTCTCCCTCCTTTCTGCTTTATTATGCCACCAGGTGTCTGAAGCCCACATTATGTGCTTTTTTGCATCGCCAGATCAATACAAACTCTGCTAGTTTGTCAGAGCAAAAAACAGGAACATTTCAAAGCACAGTGAGGAGGAACTGATTTAGCACAGTCTGTCTGGGTGAAAGATGCTGCTTCTGACGCTGTGCAAATTGGCTGCTCTGTGCTATTTGCTGCACTGCCACGGACGAGGCTGTGGCCAGCTCTTGGGCAACAACTCAGGGAAACCCTTCTGCTTCTCTGTGCAATTAGAGAAGGAAAATCAACACCAAAGCCCTATAGATGGGAGTAGGAGGTCACCAAGATGAGCTGAGCAGCACCAGAGTTTGGATGTGGGAAGACTACAGGAGGGAACTGAAGTTCTTTTCCATGGCTCTTACCCAGAGAAGGAAGGGGAGAACTGAGAGGCACGAGGCACAGAGGCATGGCTTTCCTTTCACCTTGGAAAAGCAAACTCCCAGCAAAGGGACAAGAAGCAATGGTTGAGCAGAGTTGTTGACGGAAGAGATGGATATTGATGTGGCAGGGAAGCAGGGAAGTTCATTCCTGATCAAGTCCTGGGTTTCACTGTGAGCTCGATGAGTGAGATTTCCTGTACCTACTCTGTATTGAGTAGAGGACTCAACACAGTCCTCTACTTTCCTTCTGGGGGGCAAGAGCCCCCCTTCCTAACTCCAGAAAGAAATTACGCAGATGTCTAGTTCAACCTAACAGTCAATATGCTCTTGATGCTCTAAGTACAGAGAACCTTCAGACATTTCAAGTGAGGTGACACAATTCTTAGGTGAGCTCCATGGTTATACCTGCTGCGTGCTCAGCTACAGCTCTGCCACGATGCTGTATCCACATCAATCCCTCAGATTTCCAGTGCTTCCCGAGACATTTGAAGAGGTGGGAGTGTGTTACACACTCCTGTGTGATAACAGTTCATCCATATGGCAGGGAGCTGCACACGTTGGGTGTGAATATGGGCCACATGCATCTCATGGGCCAGACTTAACACAAACTCAGATGGAAATTATGCACCAAAATACAGAACACATTTTTTTTCTAAAACAGCTCAGTAAGTCACATTTTTTTTCTGAAAATCTGCCACTTCTTTTGGTGCTTACACATGCAGCATGACCCCAGAGTGCTTTAAGAACTGAGTACAAGTGTTTTTAAAAAGCTCTGTCATTTCTATACATGAATGTGTAAAGACTACAGATAATATATCTTCAATACCCAAACACAAATACTGCTTGTAAGGCATGTGAAAATCTGAAGCAACGTGTTTGTGCAGCTGAGGTGCTGGATTTTTGTGCAGGAGGGCTGATCATAGACAGGGCATGTGTTCTTTCTCTGCTCCTTGGCTTCGGCACCTTGAGGATAGGAAAACTGATCCTGACCTTTGCAAAACGTTTTAAGATCCATCAGTGACAACAAGTCCTGACATACGTGTTTGTTCACTATAGTGTAGAGATGCTACAGAAAGGAAATCTGCCTTGTGGTTACTCATGGGATCTTTTGAATCATAGTTGTTTTTCTCAAGGAAAGGACGTTTTAGTTACCTTTATCACAAGACTTTAAATCTCCTTTGGAGGCTCCTACCCAAATATTTACACAACGGGTTTCCTAGGGAAGGCAGGCTGGCGGCTGTTTTGCTTTGTGCCATGAACTTCTCCGGCGACTGGTCTCCTCTCTATTCATCTTCACTGTAACTCAAACATTGTCTCAGAGAATCGTATAAACTGTCTGTGACACAGCCCAAAAACCTTCACCATGCTCAGCTAATCCCCGCGTGCCCGTCGCTCCGTCACTAAATTATCACAACTGTCCACAGAACTGCTCCGCCCAACACAAACAGCGAAGGCGACGGGAGGAAACGGCTCCAAAGGGAACCTTTCCCTTTCGAAGCGAAAAAACCCTCCTGGTGAATGCGCTGTCACACTAAATAACTCAAAGGCACCAAATGCAAATTCTATTTACAGTGGCAGTTCTATAAATATCTGTGGC